CACAACACGCACACCACAACACGCCACCACAACACGCCCACACCACAACACGCACACACAACCACACACACCACAACACACCACACCACAACACACACACCACACACCCACACCACATCACACACACCACACACACCCACATCACACACACCACATCACACACACACCACATCACACACACACCACATCACACACACACCACATCTCACACACACAACCACACACACACACACACCACACACACACCACACACCACATCACACACACACCACATCACACACACCACATCACACACACATCGCACACAACCACATCGCACACACCACATCACACACAACCAATCACACACACATCACACACACACACATCACACAACACCCACACACACACACACACACACACCACACCACACACCACACAACACACACACACACACACACACACACACACACACACACACACACACACACACACACACACACACACACACACAACACACACACACACAACACACACACACACACACACACACACACCCCACACACACACACACACCCACAACACACACAACACACACACACACACACAACACACACACACACACACAGCACACACAACACACACACAACCACCACACAACACACACACACACAACCACACACAACAACACAACACAACACACACACACAACACACAACAACACACAAACCACACAACACAACACCACACACACACACACACACACAACACACACACACAACACACACACACAACACACACACCACACACACACAACACACCACACACACAACACACACACACACAACAACACACACAACACACCACACACCACACACACACACACACACACACACACACACACACACCACACACACACACAGTTAGAGTTACAAGTGGAGAAGGTAACGGGAACTGAAGGGGACAGGCCAAACTATAAAACTGGGACTACACAGAGGAGAAAACTTCCTGCAGGAGGTTCAGTGGGACACAGAAATGGTAGGAAAATCAGTAAACGAGATGAGGAATATGTGGCAAAAAAGTTGCAAGGAGGCAGAGGAAAGTTTTGTTCCCAGGAAACAGAAATAATAAAAACCAAAACGAGTCTTGGTTTACCCAAAGGTGTAGGGAGGCAAAAACTAAGTGCAACAGAGAAATGGAAAAGGTACAAGGGCATAGGACCCAGGAAAACAAGGAGATTAGTAGAAGAGCCAGAAACGAGTATGCGCAGATATGGAGGGAGGCCCAGCGACAGTATGAAAACGACATAGCATCGAAGTCAAATCTGACCCGAAACTGCTGTATAGCCACATTAGGAGGAAGACAACAGTCAAGGACCAGGTGATAAGGCTGAGGAAAGAAGGTGGAGAACTCACAAGAAACGATCAAGAGGTATGTGAGGAGCTCAACACAGATTTAAGGAAGTATTTACAGTAGAGACAGGAAGGACTCTGGGGGGACAGACCAGATGGGACTACCAGCAAGGAATCACAAACAGTGTTGGACGACTACATACAGATGAGGAGGAGGTGAAGAAACTGCTAAGGGACATCCGATACCTCAAAGGCAATGGGACGGTCACTTCTCTCCGTGGGTCCTTAGAGAGGGAGCCAGATATGTTGTGCGTGCCACTTACCACAATCTTCAACACAATCCCTGGAAACTGGGGCAACTACCTGAGGTATGGAAGACGGCAATTTAGTTCCATTTTCAAAAAATGGAGAAGAAAGAAGGCACTAACTATAGACCTGTGTCATTGACATGTATAGTATGCAAAATTATGGAGAAGATTATCAAGGAGGAGAGTGGAGGTGCACCCTGAACAGAACGGATATAAATGCCAACCAGCACGGATTCACGGAAGCAAATCCCTGTGTCACTAACCTTCTGGAGTTTTATGATAAAATAACAGAAGTAAGACAAGAGAGAGGGGGTGGGTTGATTGCATCTTCTTGGGACTGCAAGAAGGCCTTTGACTCCAGTTCCTCACAAGAGATTAGTGCAAGAAGATGAACATCAGGGGAGCATATAACAGGGAAGGGCACTGCAATGGATCAGAGAAATACATGACAAGGGAAGGCAAAACAACGAGTCTTGGTACGTAAGATGTATCACAGTGGGCACTGTGACGAGCGGGGTCCCACAGGGGTCGGTCCAGGACCAGTGCATTTTTGGTATATATGTGAACGACATGACGGTAAAGGGAGTTAGACTCAGAAGTGTCCTGTTGCAGATGATGTGAAGTTAAAATGAGGAGAATTAAATCTTATGAGGACAGGCAGGACCTTCAAAGAGACTGGACAGACTGGACACCTGTCCTAGCCAAATGGGTTCTCCGAATTTAATCCTGCAAATGCAAATTCATGAAGATAGGGGAAGGGCAACAGAAGACCACAGGACAGAGTATAGGTAGGTGGCCAAGACTGCAAACATCACTCAAGGAGAAAGATCTGGGGTGTGTATAACACCGAGCAATGTCTCCGGAAGCCACACATCAATAGATAACTTGCTGCAGCATCATGGGCGCCTGCAAAACATGAGAAACTGCATTCCGATTACTTAGTAAGGATTCATTCAAGACACTGTACACCGTGTATGTCAGGCCCATACTGGAGTATGCAGCACCTGTTTGGA